ATCTGTAGTTTCTTCATGGCTGCATGTAATTGTGGCTTGACACCGATAGATCACATCACAGAATAGACACCCCTCAGAACCGTGAGTTCCATTCCATTCCAATTTACATCTGAATTAAGAGAAATTAATAGCTTTAAGTTATCATACATTAAATATATTTATTCCTATTTTACCTAATCCTAATTTAACTTTCAAACTAAAAACGTAAGATACCCTTCAGAGGCTCGTCTCGTTTCTAGTGCTGTATACTTAGAACTTAGATTTGAATCTTGCATTCCTCTAATTTTTCAGAAACTGTTATGAAAACTGATTAGAAGAAAGCTCAGTTTCACTTCACAGTATGGCTGTCAATTGGAGGTGGCAGGCACAGCTGATAAAAGTTTCATGGTGTTGCATTACCATTTGGCATCTTATTAGAAGAACCATCTGTTCTTTTAATTACTATTAACTCACTTCAGATTGCAATAGCAACAAAACCCCTAAGATATATTTCTGACTAAGTGAAAAATCAAACATGCTTTTACAATCTTCCTGAAAATGATATTGTCTCTATTGAAGATCTAACAGCCTGGCCACACAGGAAACAGACAGCATCGTGAAAGACTAATTAACACCAAAACCTTAAAATATGCTCATCTTTATATAAGAATGTATTATAGTCACTCCTAGAGGCGAAATTGTCTTTTTATGTTTTATACATGAGGAAGTTTCATGTTGAAATCTAAAAGGAGGTATTTTAGCTTGCTTTCTTTTTCCCCAGACTTACGAAGAGACATTTTGTACACAAGCAATGGCTTACTGTTCCATCCTCTTGTATCTCTAACAAATATTTTCAGATAGCATAGCCAACCACTTTTCTGTGTAATGGAGGAGAAAAGTTGAGCAAGACAAATTGAGTCCCTGCTATTCTAGTAGGAGGAGAGAAGTGTCCAACCAGTTTCCAAGATACACAAAATAACATCACTTCTATGGGATAAAATCAGGTGCTCTGAGCATGAGTGACCATGAATGTGGTTAATGTGAGCTGACATTGCTGGAAAGTTGACTTAGGAACTGAGGCCAAAATGATGGGAAGAGCCAGCCAGGTAGAGATCTGTGCTCAGGGCCCTCCAGGTAGAGCGATTAAAAGGACCGTGTGGCCAGGCATGGTGGAAGAGGAGAGAGTGGATGAGTGGCTCTTGGACTTCTGGGCAAAGCCTAAACCATGGTGGTCCACCATACATGGATGTTGTCTAAATGATCTAAGTGATCCACTGTGTTAGCTGAGTGGAGTGTTGAGTGGAGTGTTGAGTGGAGTTGAGTGTTGAATGGGTGTTGAGTGGAGAATGGGCTGAGAGGAGAGGGAGTGAAAACAGGGGGTTAAGAGCCTGGACCCTTATATCTGGGGCTTCCAGTGGAAAGGGAGGGTCAGGATATACCTTAGAAGAAGGAACAGACGGACCCGTTGGATGAGGCATGAGGGGTGAAGAATGAATAATTTGGCAAACTTCAGAATATGTATCTGATGTTCAGATATTCAAATAACATGATAATGATTGTGAACGAGATCCTGAGTTTCCATGAATATCCCTTTCTACTACAGAAAGGGTGTCTGAGGACAATGTCTATATGCTCCCCCGTCCACAGCCCCCTCACTGGGATGCATAAGCGTTCTTTCTGAACCCCAGGAGCTGTCACTCTATGAGTGTTCTCCTGCTTGGTACCACAAGAGCAGGAGGAATGTGGCCACAGAACTTTTACCCAGAGTGTTCCTACAGCATTCCTAATTGTGCAAAGGCCCCATTTTGTTTGGCAGTTTTGTGTCTCTAGATAGAAGTATCTCACTAGCTCAGCCAGGCTGGCGAAATGGGTACCAATCTGTGGGTTTATTTTAGTGGCCCTAACATACAAGCTCATGTCAACTAACATTGAAGGACTACCTCAGCACTTACTTGTAACCCATTTACTCTTAGTTTATGAAAAGATCTAACAGCTTTGGTCAGTCTGGTTTCTACCTCTCAGCATACTGAACATGTCACATTGAGAGCATGTTGATAGGGATGTCGACAGCAAAGAAAAGTACAATAACAGCTAATAGCTTAGTAGTGAAAGAGGGAACAAAAAACTATCAAAGACAGAACCAGGGACTCAAACCCCTGTGACCATTTAGTAAATGTTGAGAAGCCAAGGTAACTTCTGAGATATTTCTCTAATATCTGAGCAGCAAAGATCAATAATCGGTGTCCACCATGATGACCCTGAATCCAAAAATCATTCACTATTGTTCAGTTGACTGACTGGCAATGTGTTTAACATGACAAAAGTATGTGTTATATTTTAGAAATGTTGCCATCTAAAATGTTAATAGTTTTCCAAGGGAAATAAAGTTACCTATAAATTTTAGCTTTGCACAGTTATATGTTACCAGGCAGTTCTGAATAGCAAAGGCATGTGTGTGTATGTGTGTGTGTGTGTGTGTGTGTGTGTGTGTGTGTGTGTGTGAGAGAGAGAGAGAGAGAGAGAGATAGTGAGAGAGAATAGTTTATTATTATCAATATTAATATCAATATTTTATATTTTAATATTTTCCTATTTTGATGGAAGTATATTCTTCAATCCCATTTAAGGATGTGAGCAAACTATTTCAAATTGTACAGAGACCTCTTGTAATGTAAGGAAGGAAGTGGGGTGCAGTGGCAAGTTAGGGAGTAAAGTGATTCCTTGTTACCATGGAGACAAAACAATTTTGTTGTGCCCTTGTTCCCTGAGGGTTTCATGAATCTCAGAAGTTCAGACTGTACCCAAAGACCCTGGGCCTTTGTGGCCCTCTCCCAATCTACTCTTCATCCTAATTTTATGTTTTAAAATGTTGACCGATTTTGAGATGGGTTTCAATGAGAAATGACAGGCTAGACAGAGATGGTTCAAATTAAGCACAGCAATTTCTCCCTTCCTGTGAATATCTCGGAAAACGTTTAAGACAAACAAGGTTCAAGTTTTTCTGAAATGACATGTCTTGAGAGAGTCTTATTTAGCATGCTAAGTGAGTTTTTTTTTTAAAGTTAGCTATTATAGGAGCAAAGTAAGTGATTAAATGACACCTGCCTGGAGAAGAGAAGTCTGTTGAGCGTCAGCGGGGTTCTAATGCACAGTGCTAAAGCATGGTACTGATGCACAGTACTGATGCATGGTACTGATGCATGGTGCTGCTCTATCTGGGGCCTTTGCCAGCACATCTGAGGGATGTACACAATGCTCCCACTTACATTTGCCACTGCTGATGGCCTGTCAATTCTAATGAAAATACTACATATTAGAAAGGTGACAGAAATTACCTGCATAATCTTTTTTGTCCCTCTTTTCTGTCTGTCATTCTGCATTTTAAAGAAACAGGTTATTAAAGCATTATATAAGTATGCAAAATATATTGAAAGAGAAAAAAATACTTCAATTATACACAATATGTACTGATAGGAAATGCTTGGTATGTGATGACATATGACAAGTGGCAAAAGGTATTTTTAGTTGCTTTTGTTTGGGCGGAGGTTGAAGCAAAAATCTCTAGAATGTACAGCTTCAGCTTTTCCAGCTATTCTAATATTCAGTGTATTTATAGCATATTTAAAATAAGTAACTGCATGGAATTGTTTAAAAAGTGAATTTATCACTTAAAGATATTTGATACTATTTTTAATTTGTGTTCTTTCAAAAAGCTTATGGTAGATCTGTATTTGTCTTAGTATGTTTTCTTACCCAATTCCTTCCGAATGGCTCTCATTATGCATGCATAAGAAACCATAAGCTGTTTTTATTTTATTTGAGCAACTGATCTGTGAATAAAGTATAGTCCTTACAAAAAATAACCAAGAGCTATAGGAGTTGTGTTCACAACATAAATATTTGAAACCTATAATCAATGAAGTCAAGTTTCCTGGTAAATTCTGATTCAAATAAACCAAAGGAAGTTCAAATGAACCTAAGGGAAACAAATAATAAAAGAAGGTGAATTTGGAGCATTTTAGTCTTTACTCAAAGAGAAAAAAAATCACATTCTCTTTTAAGAAGCATTGCAACAGATGCAGAAATATTCCCTAGAAGAGTCCCTTGGGGCTGATAGTGTACTAAGTTACCCACCATGTAGGTGCAACAGCTCACTTTGGGGTTTATTCTTTTGCCTTTTTTGGTTTATTATCAAATTATAATTGAACAGCGAATTGCATATATTTACATTTTCAAAGGAAAAGACCATATTCATCCTTCTTAATGCAAAACTGATATTCAATCTCTAAATGTTGGCCATTTCTGTACAGCCAGAGATGTATAGGCAGAAATCACAGGTCACACAGAGTACACTCTACCCTGCACTGATATGAAGGCGGGATGACAGACTATGGCATTTTTGTCCCTAAGGTGAAGATAGTTATTGTTCATTATTTGAATAGAAATTAAGAAATAGCAGAGTACTCTAAAACACTGAATGTAAGAGGAATTCATCTTTCCTTAGAATGTGGCGATAAGTATTTCTTATTGTGAGAAAATTAGTCTTTTCTGGGCAAGTTTATGGATTATTTTATTGCTTTATTTTTGTGCATTTATTGAAATACCTCAACCTGAGGCAAACGTTTACACATACACAACGTAAAAATTTACAAAAAAAATTTAATACTCCCTTAATTTGTCACATTCTAAACGATGATCAAAGAAAACCTGCTAAATTTGTTACCTACTAATTTTATGTCAACTCTGTTGCCCTATGATAAATACATGACCTAGACCAAAAAAAGTAATTGATGACCTTACATTTTCTAAGTATATATTTATGGTATAATATCCTTACAGAAAACTTCTGATTTTGGCTGGCTGAAAACTGAAAGGAGCTTGGGCCTTTAAAGTAACACACACCCCTATGATTAGTCTTTGCGTGAGGTTTTTTCAGGTGAAAAAAAACCTATTCAGGGACTTCATGTGACCGGGTTGCTTTGGTTCTGTTTTAACTGGGTGATCATTTCCCTTTATTTCAGGATCTAGATTTCTCATCACATCCACGGGAGCCTTGTATATTAAAGATGTACAGAATGAAGATGGATTGTATAACTACCGCTGTATCACGCGACACAGATACACTGGGGAGACGAGGCAGAGCAACAGTGCCAGACTTTTTGTATCAGGTAAACACTCAGCAACACTGTGCTTATTGTTTCTGCTGTCCTTCATCAGTGTCCTGAGAGGGCTCAACAAAAGGCGTGGAATCCATGACTAAAATGAAGCTTTCAGTTTTGGGGGTTTATTTTCCCAAAATAGTTTAGCAGTTTAAGGTGTTTTTTTTTTTTTAAACCAATACCAACACAATGAAATACAATAGAAATATAGATGTTACAAGTGAAATCACAGAACATTTTGTAAAATTCCAAATTCCTTTGGCCCAATATGATTTCTATTTGGAAACCACACCTCTTTGCCCTACATTTTTTAATGATCTGTCACTGAGAGTGCCAACCATCACCATGATGCCTCCCACCAAGCAAAACTGAGGGAGAAGAGCAGGGTCCTGTGGAACACACCTCTTGTTCCACATATTATGTCTACAATGTTGAGAAAATTACCTGTATCTAAAGTAAAAGGGATAGTCACACCCTTTCACCCCCATGCAAGATTATTCCCAAGTGAAGGGAATCTGAGAACAGATGATTCCACTCTCATAAATATGTCTGTGTTGTGCCTTCTTTCACGGGATTTATTCTTTGAGAAAAGATCAACCTTTTGCATAATCTTCAAAATTGGCTTGTTATTGGCCCATCTGTCAAACAAATAAGCATGCAGTGATGCATTAGCACATCATGGAGCACTCTAAAAGTGGGAAAGTCCATCTCAGAATAAGAAAATCAAATGCAAAATATTGGACCTCTGCCCTTTGGAGCATAAAATTGCTCCATGCAATAAATATCTTAATTTTGTTTGTAGTGATGTTTTGTGAGGGAGACGTGATGGAAAGTTGTTACACGTGGGGGTAACTAAAGCCATTATCACCTGAATGCCTACCGACTGTCCTTGGTGATGCCCTATTTGGATTCCTCTTTCCCACTCACATCCTCAAAATAACCAAAGCCCACCTGTGGTTCAAGGTGATATCAGAATTAATATATCAAAACTATATCACAATAAGATATCAGAATTAAGTGATTTCTCCTCTGAACTTGAAAATATTTTTTCTTACCTGTTCTTTTTCATGGCAACTGTTACTTTCACCCTTATTATAGTTATGGTTTATGGCTTCTGTTAAAGAAAATTGCTACTGCTAAAAGGTGAGAACACAAACAGTGAATGCAGACTGCTACTCTAAAATTCTATGCTTTGAAGGAAAAGATAAATGACTTTTATTTTAAATTGGATTTATATTTATTTAAAAAATGTACACATGGTGTACACATGGTCATGGTGCGGGTATGTTAATAGTAGCATTTTTAATGATCCCAAACTCCTCTTAAAATTAAAACAGACCAAATAGGATGATAAAAGAAAAAGCACATGGATGACACTTTCAACAAAACTAGGTGATGGGAATCCCCAGAAACTCCTGCATATGGTGGGAGTGGACAGGCTGCTGACATAATAGGACCAAGCATGAAATAGCAGCAGTGGTTCAGAAGCAATAGATGGTGAAAAGACCAATTGGGACTACTATATAGTCACAGAACTGCAAAATCATCAACAAATGCTCATCTCCAAAAGTGGAAGACGGTCCTTTCAGTTGAACCTGGGCAAATGTATCTAAGAATATTCACACCACTTAGACCTGTAGGAGCTCTGAGTTGAAGATGAGAGCAAAGAGCCACAGAGTAATCAATAATGATCACACAGCTCATTGGTGTCCTAAGTCCTCAGAGGTATCAGAGGTATTCAGCAAATACTCCTCCCAGGAGGACAGATGCTCACCCTGAGCGAAACTGCTGGGTTTAGAAATCAAATTAAGCCAGAGTGGAATACTAAGAGTAACAGGAAGAGAAGGCTCAGGGAGCATGGGGACCCTAAAGAAATTCCAACCTAAACAATGTTATGAAAGAAAAATATGGCATGAAAAGGTGAGAGTACTACCTTAGAAAGCAAGTGATTTAGGAAATCATTAATGAAGGTGGAAATCATCCCAAAGCAGGTATAACTCAGAACTGGGCTAGTGGTGATAGCAAGGGAAAATGCTGACAAAGCTTACTTATGTCATCCTTTCATGAAAGAAGCGTCTGCTAATTAACTAAGAATGGAATCTCATTTTAATGGAGCAAAAGGAAAAAAAGATTTAACCTCCCACAGCTTTATTACACAAAGAAAGATGAAAATGAATCAAATAATGTTTTGACAATTAAAAGTAATTTAAAAAATTGTACACAAATCATATGAAAACTGTAATTTGTTATTTGAAAATGATTTAACACTGAAAGGGCAGCATAAGTCAGAAATAAAAGAGTTCATGTTTAAGATGGCTGAACAACATGAACCTGTGAAACAATATATGGCAGAATTTGGGAAAGAATTGGAAAAAATGAAAAGTTGTAAAATTCAAATTAAATTAGGAGGAGCACATCAGAGAATAGACACAACAGAAAGCATAATGTGGAAAATAAAGACCAGTAAGTAAACATGGGCAGAAAATTAAACAACTAGAGGTAAAAGGGACTAGTGGGAAAATATGTAGATGACAGACAAAGATGATAAAACACATGTATAATTAGAGTCTCTTAAGAAGAAAACCAAACAGTAGGTCAGAATATATATTTAAAACAATAATTTGAGAACACTTTCTGTAATTGAAGAATACAGAGTTACTACATATTGAATCGGTACACTGGTGCTCCAGGCTAGTCATGCAACTTATTCCGAAGGAAACTTATAAACTGTAAATATTAAGAAAAAATCATCTGAGCACCCAGGAAATACATTCAAGTTATTTCTAAGGGAAAAATGTAAAGAGATTAATAAAGAGAAAACAGAAAAAAAACCCAGTAAAAGTAATAATAAACACATTTTCTCCTTTTAAAAACTCATAAAACAAAGTGGCATAATTAAAAAAACATTGTGGTGATTTCTATAGTAGGACAGGTTATTTGAATGAATATATATATATATATATATGTATATATATATATATATATATGTATATATATATATAATTTCCCTTTGAGGACAATGAGAAAGGCTGTTTAAAAGTGTAAAAAATAAAAACCTGCTTGAAGTTGTTAGGCGCTAATGGGAAAATGGGAAAAATGGGTCAAAATCCAGAAGAAGATGGCAGCAGGAAATGAGTCTGACATTGAGGGCTGCTTTTCCTATAGGGGAAACCCTAGGAGAGACAGATGACAGCCTGAGACAGTGAGACACTCTTTTGAAAGCTTAGTAGTGTCAGGTGGGTAAATATTTTAGTCTAGGTCCCATCAGAGTAGAGCATGATAAACACCCCATGCTTTGGGTTGAAATGTCCAAGGAGTATACTCTAACAATAAGGGAAAACTAGAACTGGAACTGCCTTCCAGGGACTAATGCTGAGCGGCATGTCACCAGGATTTTAGATTGGTTCAGATGATCTTGCATTACTAGGGTGTAGTGATATCTTTTTTGCATTCCTAACTTTGGTGATTTTTTTGTCCTCCCCCTCCCTTCCCCTTCTTGATTAGACTTTCTGGGGCTTCAAAATGATACAACTCCCATGTTGGATAATTTATCAATATTTGGTAAAATTTCATGTAAATTTATTCTATGAGCAAGTAATCTAGGAAACTCTCCCAATGATAGAGTGACAAGAGAATGCCTTATGCACAATGTTACAAATCAAATTATTTCTTATACTAGCAAAATCTTGGAAGCAATCCCAATATCCATCAATAGGGGATAATTACATGAATTCTGGTGCAGACACTGAATGGAGTAATGTACAGGCACAAAAAAGGAATGTAGACAATCTCTATTATTGAAGTGGAGTAATCAGTCTCCAGGATATATTCTTAAGTAAAAAAAAGAAGGTGGAGGGCAGTATATAGAGTATACTGTCTTTTATGTAAGTAACATAGAGGAATATATGTGTGGATCTATTTATAATCGTGAAAGCAATATTGGAAGGGTAAACTAAAAACTAATAAAATTGTTTGCTTCTAGGGGTAAAAGTACAGGGGACATGGACGTAAATAAGGCTCACTTGAATATATCTTGTTACATGGTTTCATATATGATTTATATTTTACATTTTTAAATTAAAAAATTAATGCTAAAAATGGAAAATATGCTGAAGCAAATGAATCTAAATGCATATCAAGTTGTTGAGATAACCAAACTTAGGAAATGATTATTTCAGGTAACTTTAAGATATAACTGTGATTGTGTGTCTATGACAAATATGTTCTAACAGCAAGCAAAGCTTAAAATAAATTCTTAAAATTCATTTGGAAGCCTTATTTTAAAAAATATTATTAGAATTATTTCTTGAAAAAATATTCACTTGTAAAAATATTGTCAGCATCATTTTTGAAGATGATATTTATTTACATTTATAGTGGGAGAGCAATAAGAAAGGGGAAAATAATGATGTTTATGCTATTTTTATTTGGGATCAAGACTTCCAGTGTAAGAAAAAAGCTTAAAATCAAAACCTCAAAGTACAGTCCTTGAAATGTCATCCTCTAATTCAAACTACCAGTACACACTTGTTTTTTTGTTTATTTTTTTAATGTGTTTTTCCAAGGTATTTCCACTGAAAAGGCCCAGAAGCAATGGGCAACCCATAGCAACAAGCGACCTAACACCTAGATTACAGTCGCCTTTCAACAGCATTCCCACTAAAAGGGATCATGGCTCCAGATGAGCCTGAAACAGTCATAGAACCTCCTCAAAATGATACAGGAGCCAACTTCTGAAAAGACTCTCATTGGTCAAAAGTGTGATGAATTGAGTATCAAAAACAATGATTGCAATGTCATTCACCTTCTATTATTATGAATTTTAAGTCTCCCTGGTGCTAAGAGTTGGCACTTATGGCCTTGTGCCTTTTTTTAAAATTAAATTTATTGGGTGACAGTGGTTAGTAAAATTACATAAGTTTAACAATCTAGTTATGTGGACTTGTATTAAAAAAATGATTGCATTTGCGTGATGTATACATATTTTTAAAACTCTTGAGCTCATTACGTTTCTACACACACACACACACCCATATACATATATATGTATATGTACATACAATATATACTTACATATAGATTTAATAATAACAAAAGCAATAGTAAGAATTTTATTGGTATACATAGTAGCAACTAGGGCACCAACTAAAAATTCTCCTTGTTTCCTACGCTACTGTATTTCAAGATATCCAAGGAAGCTAAGTTCTTATATGTAGAATATTTACATCTACTAAATGTGAAGGAAAGAAGAAAATTAGAAAATTGCCTTTTGCAACCCTTAATAAAATAACCAATTAAGACAAACAGTATCACATGAACTTGCTGATCGACTGAATACCACTAAGTGTGGGAAAGCCACACATTATATGGATGCAAAGAGAAAGAAAAAAGGTCAAACCTGATCTAATCAGTCCTTTAGAACTAAATTTCAGTTTATAAGAAAAATGGCAAAAGAGGAACAAGTTAAATGACACTGTAAAGAAACAAACTCAGAATGTGGGAATTCCTATAAGACAACTCCCTTGGTTTCTTCAACAGTCAAAGATAGGAGAGAAAACAAAAGGAGGATCTGCTCTGGATTACAGAGACTCAGGAGACAGGAACAAAATGTCAGCTGTAGAAAATCCTGATTTCATTAGCTCAATTGTAAATAATAATATTACTAGTAATAATAGGCCTTTTTTTTAGCTCACCAGGAAAAAATTAATATGAAGTACATAAGATTGGGATGTTGGAAAAGTCATGACATATTTTTTCCATGTTTTTCATTGCAAAAATGTGTCATGACTTTTCCGACAACCCAATAGATGATACCAAGAGGTTATTAGTACTATTGTGTGATATTGGCATGGTGGTTATATAAGGAAACTCACTGTCTTCTCCTACCCTAACCCTACCTCCTTCTCTAAGCAAAATGACAGATTTTATAAGTAGTTAGTCCCTAAGAAAAGTAACTTGTTCTTGAAAGCAACACTTGGTGAAGTTTGTCTGTAATTTCCTTCAGGAGGTGGAATGAAGCAATCTGGTCTTTGCAGGCAAGGACTCTGTACCTGGTATTGTGGGCTTTCTATGTATCTCATCCTCTGGAGCCCCACAGTGTATCACGTGTGTGAATATAATTCTAGAATACAGAATCCTTCAGTTAATGAATGTTGGAACTTCAGAAGAGTCCTGGAAACCTGCTCACGAATTCCTTAGGAAACGATGTAGGTCCCCTCATCATATCCCATGATAACATGCCCACTGTTCTCAGGAGACACTGGAGACGTGAGAAGAGCTGCAGTTTGTTGAGGACTTTGTCTCTCTGACTGCAGTGGAAAGCCACAGCCGGAGACGTCCCAGCTCAATCGTTTCACCCTCTCTTCACCCATGCCTGCTGACTACCCCCAGTGGCTGACTACAGAATCACTGCATTTTAAAGAGATCTTTCCAGATAGTTCTTATTGGATAAGAGAGAGGATATCCACTACTTTACTTTTAGGTTTACTACAAGTGGATGAAAACAGCCATAGCGCTTTCCTGAGTAAGGCAAAGATGAGAAGTTTCCAGGTTCAGGAGCCCACATCTGTGTGCTTGTGGAAACCAGTGTGGCCACTCCTGCGGTTCTGAACAGGAAGAATTAGAAGAGAGGACAAGGAAAGGTCGTTAAGTTCTATTTTTAAAATCTAGTTGGGCATCTCGATTTTACATTCTTTATGGAAATCTCTGAGAATATCACTTTCTCTGAGCAGGCTTGGACATTGAACTGGGAGATGTCCTCTGCCTCTGAAAACTTTTATCCTGTTCTTACTTGGCTCAAAAATATGAGGTATGATCAAAAAGTATGGTGGTTATTTAAATTTAAAAAAATATATATATATTACAGCAAAACACACATTGCCATTAATCTCCCTCAAGATACTCCCCCTCGCTTTGGACACATATATCCCATTGTTCTTGCCACTTTTTGAAGCAGTCCTGGAAGTCCTCTTTTGTGAGTGTCTTTAGTTGCAGTGTCTTGGCTGCCTCGATGTCCTGAATCGATTCAAAACATTTACCTTTCACGGTCATTTTGACTTTGAGGAAGAACCAGATTTGCACAGTGCTAGATCCGGTGAATAAGATGGATGAGGACACACCGTCATGTTTTTATTTGACAGAAATTGCCATGTACCAGAAGTGATGTGTAACAGGGAGACTTTCTGTTGTGATCAAAACAAAACAAAACAAAACAAAAAAATGGTGAATGCTGCTGCCGAGTTCCATCCAACAGAAAGGCAGGGATCTTCATTATAGGAAGTGGCGCTTTGAACCTTAGTAACAGTGTGTGACAAGTTTCAACTTGTTTGGTGCAGTGAGCCAGGTGTGAGCTACGATTGAGAGAAGGTGTATTTTAAAGTTGGCTATAAATCATCCTCCATTATGACAATGCTCTGTGTCACACATCGCTTCTGGTGTATGGCAATTTCTGTCCAATAAAAATATTACAGTGTGTCCTCATCCACCTTACTCAGTGGACCTGGCACCCTGTGACTTCTGGCTCTTTCCCAAAGTAAAGATGATTCAGGACATCGAGGCAGCCACGACAGCGCAACTAAAGACACTCACGAAAGAGGACTTCCAGAACTGCTTCAGGAAGTGGCAAGAACAATGGGATAAGTGTGTTTGAAGCAAGGGAGAGTATATTGAGGGGGATTAATTACAATGCGTCTTTTACTGTAATAAATCTTAGTTTTCATTTAAACATTCACCCTATTGTTTGATCACACCTCATATAATATAGGCCAAACATCATTTGGAAGAACTGGCTAATCATACACTGTTTGTAGCTTTTTAAAAACAGGGCCATGTCATAATTGATGATCTAGAAGTTTCTTTCTTTCTTGTTTTAACTATTAGATATTTGCCATACCTTGATTGTCTTCATTCCTTCATGTCACTTAAGATATCATCTCAGAGAGATTGTCCATGAAGAACAGTCCTCAAGCCCCCTCACTCCATCTTACTCACCTATTGTCATCCGCTTTCATTTTCTTCTCTGAACTTGCTACAAGCTAGATTACCTGCATTTGTTTACTTACACGTTGCCCGCTGCCCCAAACACACCCTCCCAGCTGGAATGCAAGCTCCATGAGGGGGTTCTTGTCTGCCTTGTTCACCACTGTGTCACCATTGCAAACTCTGTGGGTTCCAGACTTGGAGCTCAAATAATATCTGTGAACTAAATATATGAACTAAATATAATGGTCATATTTCATAACTATGTGATAAACTCTTTTTTGTGACGTGAAGTTTACTGATGTTAAACAACTATTTCTGCCACTGCTGCTCCTTTGAAAGGGGAAGTTGAACGTTGCCTTGCTGTAACACAACCCCTTTCTTGGCCCAGCTCTTCTCTGAAGAGTGCTGATTCTGGTGTTTTTAGTTATTTAGTAGGGAATGGAATGCAAAATCTTTTTTAAAATTCTGAGAAGAACTTTATACAAGTAAGACTTTTCTGTTCATATGCAAAACTCTAAAGATCTGTATCAATGGTTGGTATGACATACAGAATTTTTGCTGTACACGAGGCCCTATGCTTCTAAATGACCATTTCAGTTCCCCCCTTCACTCTACCAGAGTTTTTCTTTCTTCCACAGACCCAGCGAATTCAGCCCCATCCATACTGGATGGGTTTGATCATCGCAAAGCCATGGCAGGACAGCGTGTGGAGCTGCCTTGCAAAGCGCTTGGGCATCCTGAGCCAGATTACCGCTGGCTGAAAGACAACATGCCCCTGGAACTTTCTGGAAGGTTCCAGAAGACTGTGACGGGGCTGCTCATTGAGAACACTCGTCCCTCAGACTCAGGCAGCTATGTGTGTGAAGTATCCAACAGATACGGAACTGCTAAGGTGATAGGCCGCCTGTACGTGAAACGTAAGTTGGACGGTAACTTGCAATGGTGATGTTGGCTGCCACTGATGGAGTTCTTGTCACAAGCTGACCTCTGGGCTTTCTCTGTCGCATTCCACTGACTGTCACAACAGTCCTGCCGAAATCAACATCAGCCCCAATTTGCTGATGAGGAAATTAATGCTCAACTTGCTAAAGGTTACACAGCTGGAGAGTTTGGGGCTTAGGATTGAATTCAGGTCTGTCTGATCCCCATACCCAAACCTCCAAGATTTCCGTGAGGCCACAGGATACACTTCTGAGAATATCAACTAGCTGTGAATTCAGAATGGCCAGCCTGTCTGAATACTGACGGAGGACAAGGGTCAGGATTGTGCTGTCACACACAATCAGATCAAAGTGGGTGTGCTTGGCGTGTTTCCAGGTGCTACTTTAAATTCCGAAACGGGGCTGTAATCAGCAGAAATCGAGGGTTGTAGTTCTTCATATATTGGACTTGGACTCAATATTCTAGATCATTCAATCCAAGTGTGGTGGAAGTATTTCATCCCCAGGTGATTTGTGGTGACTGTCTTGAGGAATGTGTGAGGAAGGATGCTGAGGACAGACTCAGAGGTAGGAGGGATGTGATCGCAGGGGGCGCGTGCTCATCTAGTCAAACACCCTCTTTGTACTCATGCAGAAGCCAAATCAAAGTGAGATGCTCAAGATCACATGGGCAGAATTGAGTGGCAGAACTTTGGCCAAAATAGATGGCTCTGACTTGCCAATATGCTGTTCTTTTATATATATAAAATATTTAATATATATAATATTTAATATATATTTATCTATAAATATTATATATACCTATATATTTTTTGATGACCTGACTGAACAAATTGAGTCTCTGACTCTGAAAAGGGGGCTATTTCCTTACCCTGGCTTTTCCCCAGCCCATGCCTGTTTATGGAACTGCCTCTTCAGTGTCACCCTGAGTGTAGACTGCTTTGGCATGATACCAGCCCAAGAGAACATATTTAAAGCAAATATCCCAGTGACTTCCTGAAACCAGCTGCCCAGGGTGAGTCCTGCAAATATCACTCAAACTTGCTTGGACTGGGGTTAGAAAGAAATGGAAGATAGTGCCTGCATGGTTGTAGTTCTATAGCTGAAGAACCTTGTACATGAAATAATGCAGCACTGAACAGCTGATAAGAATTTATCCTACAGGCTCAAATCTTCTCTGTGTTAAGACACCTTTCATGGCTCCCCACTTTCTGCTGAATCAAGTTGATATCTTAAGATAGTATAGAAAGCATCTCAAGTGAGCCTGCCTACTCATTTTTCCCATAGTTTTGCTTCAAACAAATCTACACCTGCCAGATCTAATTTCCTCCTATTCCCTGTACAAACCCATTCCTTTTCTGATTGCAAGTCAGATTGCTTCTCCACATGGAAGATGGTTTTCAAATACTCGAGTGTCTGAAACTTTCCATCTTTCTAACTTAATGACATGCCCCATCCCCAGAGACATTCCCTGTCCCCGTCCTATCTTCTACTCATCAGTTCAGCATATTTTCTTGCTCTCTCTGTAAAGGCATTTATCACTATCTACATTGTAAAAGCTATTTGTGGAAAAGTTTCAATTCTGACAGTAGCTTTTCATCTTTGTAGTCTTCTGCCACATTTGGATAAGTTCTCAAATGCTTATCGAATGTTCCCATCCCCCCTTCAGACTGCTCCTTTGTTTTTTCTCTCTTCTCTAGATAAAAAGCATTCTCTTGAGTTCTGGATCAGAGCTCTCTTCTCTTCAATCTCTTTTCCTCTGATGCTATCTTTTATTCTTATGGCTTCAAATCCCTCCCCTCTGAAAATAGCCCTGAACCTGTTATGTATAGACTCAGCTTCCTTTCAAAGGAGAATGTCTCCCAATTTTATATTCGCTGTTTAGCTGGTACTGCCAAAGAACAGTATCACACATGGAACCATCTTGCCTCATAAATGGCTGTCCTTATTCAAGACACCTTCCCCCCACAAACCTCCAAATGCAAACTTTAAATCCTGGATCATCTGTAAGCCTTTCCTTTCTACATGCAAATCTTTCCAAGTCCTAGAGATGGTATCTCAGTGTTCCTTGACTGCGCGCTCCACCTCTGCCCTGTCTTAGACTGAGTCTTAGTTGCGCCTCAACTACACATTTGCAATGCCTTTCCTGACCGATTTCTCTGCTCTCATTTGTCCAAAACAATATGGTCAATCAATACTTTGAAAAATGTGTTTGGCTATAGCACTCACTTGCTAAAAATTGTAGAAAGCTTTCTTTAGTTCCCTCTGATTTAATTCCAAAATCTAGAGTCTCATTGCAATCTTGTCCCAGACTGCCTTTGTAATTTTTCTCACATTATGCCCCTTCAGCGATGCTGTACTGCATCCAAACTGGTGAGAAAGTCTTCCTGAGGTAGGGTTGTGCATCCTGCTCTAATCTACACAGTCCCCAGTCTCTGCAGTGCCCTCTGGCCTCAGTTCTATCCATCCTTGATATCTGAGGACTTTCTATTGACCCTACACACACACATACAAATGTCTCTAACATGCTTTTTGGGTATTATGTTCATTCTCATGTTTGCCTTATCCACCTAGAAGACTGAAGTTCTTAGAACCAAGTCACCAAGTGTGGTGACAAGAGCTATCAGAAATAAGCAGGGTAGGGCCGGCCGAGTGGCGCGATGGTTAAGAGCTGGCTTGGGACGCCAGAGGGCCCTGGTTCGGATCCCACACATGAGGGCCAGTGACACTGCCCTCTACAGCTAAGATGCTGAACAACAGCTCAACCTGGAGCTGGGCTGCCATGAGTCGCCGGCGACAGCGTAGGCTGCAGCCCCTGTGGCAGTGGGTTGCCATGGGCTACCGTGTGTAGCCAGCAGCCAGCGTGAGCGGTCAGCAGCCGCAGTGAGCGGCCGTGCAGAAGCCGGTGACTGATCTGCCTCATCTGGGAAGAGCGCAATGATGGTGCCAACTTGGGCCAATGAAGCAACATCCTCCACAACTAGACTGAAGGACAAAACGACAGCAACTTGTCTGTTCCCCTTCCCCCAATTCCCCAATAAAAAAACTAAAAAAAAAAAGAAAGAAGCAGGGTAAAAAACTGTTGTTGTTTGTTTGTTTTTGTTTTTTTTGCCATTTACCTTTTGAGTGGATTTGGTTAAGTTAATTGATCTCTCTGAATAACCATTTCCTCTTCTGTAAAATGGTAGCACAAAACTTGCAGGACTATGGGAAGACTGACTTAACATACAAAAGATGTTTGTTTGGCCACTTTACTGCACCTGCTAGTTGTACCAAAAATGTCACTCATCATTGTCTTCCCTATGAATTTAACCCCATCATTGGCATATAGATGTTCAATAAATGCTCGCTACCTTGAATGAATTGAGTTTGTTGAATGAAAATGTAGGAAGTCAAGGATCAGAGTTCCAACCCTTTCCAAACCAGTGAGACTCATTTTAAAGGAAAACAAACAAACAAACAAACAAACAAACAAACCCTGTTTATGGTCACAAATTTAATGTGAACATGTTTTCTTACAGCTGTGTGTTATTGGCAATGGTTAAGCCACATAAGGGATGAGTGAGTATATGTGTGTGTGTGAGAATGACCCAGTGTAAACCCACCAGTGCTACCTTGAGACAAGGCAAATTGGGTTTAAATATTCAGGTATTTCTGTCCTTACTGGTAACTAACATACCACATTTCTTATTGTCAGTGGGTTAATACTCATGTATACTCAACGAGAAAGCAATTTGACCAACGTTAGTCTATTTGCTACAAAGAGAAGGAAGGCCAGAAACAAACAAATAGCAAAGAGGGTACTCCCAAACAAAATGGAGCGCCCTGAAATAATCCCGAGAGGGAACTTGCGGAGCATGCGTTCAATGATGCGTTTGCCTTGTCAAAAGCCCAGCACGCTGTTAAAATGATACCTACATCTATGATGTGTTTACCTTCTCTTTTCTCTCACCCAAATCTCCAGAGCCACTGAAAGCTACCATCAGCCCCAGGAAAGTTAAAAGCAGCGTGGGTAGCCAGGTTTCCTTGTCCTGCAGCGTGACAGGAAGTGAGGACCAGGAACTGTCCTGGTACCGAAACGGTGAAATCCTCAACCCTGGAAAAAATGTGAGGATCACAGGGATGAACCACGAAAACCTTATAATGGATCACATGGTCAAAAGTGACGGGGGCGCGTACCAGTGCTTTGTGCGCAAGGATAAGCTGTCTGCTCAAGACTATGTGCAGGTGGTCCTCGAAGGTCAGTGGGCCTGTTATAGGGTTCGGCTGAAAGAGAACCCAAACCCGCAGCACGCAAACAGAAGCATAAGGGGGAGCAGTGCTGCTGACTCCCGGCTTTCAGATTTCTGTCTGTCAGGCCAGCTAATCACTCTACCTAATTTTTCGAGATAAATCCGGCAAAGGAAAGACTAGGCTCTGATGAAATGAAAATTGTATATGGCAGAAGTAACATGAGTAATGTAATGTAACGTACAGTTAAGTAACATACATGTTGCCCACTCACATGCTTAAAGATGCTTGTCAGGACATAGACATCTGAAACGTGAAACTTATGTTTTGGTTGGCAATTCACTACCCTCTAGGCCAGGGTATCTCAGTAATGCGCCATCTGGAGGGCTGTTTTCTGTATTGCAGGGCACTTAGCAACATCTCTGGCCTCTATCCAATAGATGCTAGTAGCACCTTCCTACAAATTCTGACAACCAAAAATGTCTCCAGACATTGCCAAATGTCCCCTGTGGGGCATAAAAACCCCCATTGAGAAGCACAATTTTAGAGGCAAAATACAGGGCAATATTTTCAATATTGTTCTTGGTGAAGTGAAAAGATGACATCTGATTTGTAGCGTTGTCCTCGGTTGGGTCAAAATATTCACAGGTTGAGGTAAATGGAATTTTTGAAGAATAACCTTGGGGTATATATGAGTAACAGGTTTTAAGTATGTTCTGATGGGGTTTTTTAAAAACTTAACTGTCTACTGCCTACTTGCATCTTCGAGTTTATTGATCAGCCAGGGAAAGAAGCTATTAAGGTAACATTTAAGTGAGACACATGTTTATCACCAGATAATTGAACTAGCTTTTATCTGTGTAGTTGCGTGTCTTGTTGGAAATTGTGTCTTCATATATAATTTAAAATTTCTCTGTTATCCATTGATTACAATAATTACAGACTTTCATGTAGCCTAAAGGGAGAGACAATAAAATCCATTTATATATGGAAATAAGTTTAATATATCTTGGTGCTAACAGGATATTACTATTATTACTTTTTTAATCTTAGCCAATTTTTAAAAAGAAACAGGCTTAGAATGACATTCTTATTTTGATTCAAGCCTTTACTTCCAGGCAATGAGTTTTTTAAAGCAGAAGTGAAATTAGCTGAGGGCATGATGCACATATTAAATGCCCGACACTGTGTTCCACATAATAATTAAGTGCAGAAAGTAATCAATTTGTGCTGAACTGGTTTGTTAATGATGATGCACTGTAGTCCTCGCGTAGCCATTATTTTTAGATGCTCTGTAGAAAAGGGAGAGATTACCTTTCTAAGCCTAGTTACCTTGGCAACCATCTCCTGTGACTAAGAAAACCTAAAGAGCATATTGATAATCCATAATGATGTCGAAAGAGTTCAGGTTATCAGAGAGTGACAGCAAGAAAGATTTCAAAGACACTCAGGTCTCACTGGGAAATTAATGTCTGCTTTCATCTCTGAAAAAGCCTGTCACTAGAATAAAAAAAGAGGACAGAGAGGCACACTGAGCATACTCTCGGATTTATTTGCTGCATGTCAGTTTCCATTCATGACAAGAAGCTTCACTTTATTTTTGCTCTTCTGAGAGATGGCAGTGCTAACGTAGCAAAAGAGAAGAGAAATGGAATTACAAATAGATCTCTAATACCTGCCTTAAAAGGGTGTCTAACTAGTATCCTCAGATATAACCTCCTATTATTTCCCCCGAAATAGCTATGGATTAACATAAATTGTAAACCTCACAATACTATGAATATAATGCAGAATCAGGGAGTATTTCCTATGAGGCCAAAGAAACTGGAACTGGAAGTCTAAAGAAACTGGAATCTAATAATTATAAGTTCAAGATCAAGCCAGAATAACTGAAAAATGGAATAATAAAAAAAGAATGAGAAGAGGCTCTATAAATGATAGGACAGCATACATCAGACTAACCTGCAATTGCATAATAATTATGAACTTTGGGAAAAACAAAACTATATGCTGACCCTAAAGAGACACCCAAAATTAGGCAGAAAGGATTTGGCCCTTGAAAAATGGGGAGAAGATTAGGTAATATCTACATTGATAGCACATTTCACCCGAGGACCTTCTCCAGTCCTTGTAGGGTAGGGGGAAAATAAACTAGAACATAAAAAGGAGAGCAGAAAACTGGAGACTTATGGGATTGAGGGATAGAAGGACAGAAGTCTGGACTGTCAAATATCTGTCAAATTGAAGGAAGTGAGTGGAGATTCCAGGAAAGAGGAAATAACAGTAGTGAGTCCTGAAATTTGAAATAAATTTTTTTGGAACACTTGGTTGACTGAACTGTAAAAATGTGAAGGAGAATCGAAGTATACCACAAAAATAACGACATTCCCCCAAAAAAGGAAAAAATAAAAAAATGATAGTGTCACCGAAAGTTAAAAGATAAAGTAGGCAACAGAGACAGATCCTAGGAGGATCCAGATATTAGAATTAGCAGACAAAGACTTTAAAGTTCCTTTTTAAAATATGTTCAGTAATTTAAAGGAAAATTTTGCATAATTAATGAATATATGGGAAAGACCAGCAGAAAAATGAAACCTATAAAAAAGAACCAATAGGAGTGAAAAAATTCACTGTATTGGCTCTAATGGAAGATTGGAGAAGGAAGAAAGGATCAGTGAACTTGAAGATATATTAAAATAAATTATCCAATCTGAAGTACAAAGAGAAAGAAGACTCCAAAGAAAATTACCAGACTCTCAGTGGCATGTGGAATATTTATCCTATGTCCTGATATATATATATATATATATATATATATATATATATATATATATATATATATATAATTGGAGGCCCAGAAAAATAGGAAACAGAAAATGTAGAAGAAAAATATTTTTAAAAATAATGGCACAATTTCTCAGAATTTGGTATAAAAAATAATGTTACAGATCCAAGAAACCCAACAAACTCTAAGAAGAATAAATACAAAGAAAATCACATGCAAGCACATCATAGTCAAGTTGCTGAAAACCAAAGATAAATAGAAAACCATATAATTCTGAGAGAGGAAAAATATTACACAAAGGGAGATATCAATCCAAATGATGGATGACTTCTTATCAAGTATTTTGGAGGACAGTAGACAATTGAGCAACATCTTTAAAATGTTAAAAGGATTAAAAATAAAACCAAGCCCTGTCAATCTAGAATTCTATTTCTATCAAAAATAGCCTTTAAAATTAAGGCAAATTAAAGATAAGGATTTAAAACAACACCTGTCAATCTAGACTCCTATTTCTATCAAAATAATCTTTAAAAATTACGGCAAATTAAAGACATTTTCAATTAAAAAAAAGCTAAAAAATGTGATGCCAGAAGACCTGCGCATTAAGAAAAGGTAAATGACCTCATTCAGCATGAAAGGAATGACGTAAAATAAAAACTCGGATCTGTAGGAGTAAACACCATGTGAAATGGTAAATATGTTAGTAAACATTTAGCAAAAATTTTTTTTTATCTCTTGTAATTTCTTTAAACAACTGACAAATTCGTGTACTTGGAAGTTGTTTAATTATTTGTATGTGCCACTTCCTTCCATAATTTGTCTTCCTGCAGATGGAACTCCCAAAATTATTTCTGCCTTTAGTGAAAAGGTGGTGAGTCCCGCAGAACCGGTTTCCCTCATGTGCAACGTGAAGGGAACTCCACTGCCCACAATCACGTGGACCCTGGACGACGACCCCATTCTCAAGGGTGGCGGTCACCGCATCAGCCAGATGATCACGTCGGAGGGAAACGTGGTCAGCTACCTGAACATCTCCAGCTCTCAGGTCCGGGATGGGGGCGTCTACCGCTGCACTGCCAACAATTCGGCCGGAGTCGTCTTGTACCAGGCTCGAATAAACGTAAGAGGTGCTTGTCAAATCAGCTCCTCAAAAAAACACACATAACCCATTGTAGTGGAGAAGAAGGTTTCTGCATGCACCGAGCTGGGTCTTGGAATGCCCAAACGGATTAACAGTCCTTTCGCATTGCCTCCCCCTTCCTTCCAACTCAAGAATGGCACTGATGGGGATAATCTTGGAAATGGCGTTTTGGTTTCTTCAGTCAGCTTGTTCTCCTGTTTTACTCTTAGATGTGTCCACTCGATCTTCCGTCTGCTGGTTTATGCTCTGCATGCTCTTTCCTTCCTCCTCTTCTTCTGTTCTACTACATTCATGGTAAACTTCCATGGACATGGTATTTTAACTTACATTCATGGTGCGACATGGCATAACCTCCATCTTCATAATCTCTTTTATAGAGAGAGTTAAACAGTTGAATTGCTACCAGTGTTTTCGCAGAAAGAGCATGCTTGTTCAGTGCAGACTAGTTATTTTTATTGACTAAATTGCGTTTTATCCTACAGTAATAGAAAATGTTTAATAGAAGTAGTCGATAATGAAAGTATTTAACACTCATTCAATTCATTTGAAAGTGAAGAAACTGAAAGGAAAAGAACATTTTAGTGAAAATGCCAAATGCAGAGAAATGTGTTGAGTTGAAAAAGATGTCATTACATGAAAATAATCTACAGTTTTAACTCAAAGAAAAGTGTACCCATTTCCTCACATAAGATGTACCCTTAAATTATTTTCAAGAGTTTCTTTGTGTCTCTCCAGGGCCTGCAAGCATTCGACCAATGAAAAATATCACAGCAATAGCAGGACGGGACACATACATTCACTGTCGTGTGATTGGCTATCCATACTACTCCATCAAATGGTATAAGAACTCTAACCTGCTTCCTTTTAACCACCGCCAAGTGGCGTTTGAGAACAATGGAACTCTAAAACTTTCGGATGTGCAGAAGGAAGTTGACGAGGGAGAGTACACGTGCAATGTTCTGGTTCAACCGCAGCTCTCCACCAGCCAGAGTGTTCATGTGACAGTCAAAGGTAAGGCTGTTCCCCACCCAGCTCATCATTGTTTAGTCTAACCATTGCACTGCACCAATGATTAGCAATGGGAGAATATAAGAATCTGCATATTTAGAATAAGATAGTGATATTCCTCAGTTATCAAGACTGAGAAATGATGATAGAGTACATGAGATATTCTGTTCTCTTTACCACTGCACTTTCCCAAGACCTGTGGTCAACATAGCTTTCTTTGCGTGCAAATTTTTGGCTTGATGTTCCAGAGGACATGAGTTGTTCATATTAACATAGAAAAAAGAACCACACCATTGGCTTGATGATCTAATGGTCTGATACATAATTCTAAAGTATGTATCTTTCTTTTTCTAAAAACTCCTAAAGGTGAGTTCTTATGGAATCTAATTGAAAAAGACAGGACTTCAAACAGACTTCTCATCTTGAGTAGATGAGCAGGTCAAAGCAGCAACATGGGAATTATGTGATTAAAGGACCCCATGGAAAATTTTCTTGACTTTTCAATTATTCTTTACATCATGGCATCGAGACATGGACTGTCATGGAATCTAACCATCAGGATGAACTTTGGAGACCATGCAACTCAACTCCAGTCTCCTTATTAGTAACGATGAATAAAATGACAAGACCCACCCAAGGACACATAGCTTTGTAGTGGCAGACCCTTAGGGGAAACTGTCTTTTCCTTTTTTTTTTTTTAAAGATTTTTATTGGGGGATTGGGGGAAGGGGAACAGACAAGTTGCTATCCTTTTGTTCTTCAGTCTAGTTGTGGAGGACGTCGCTTCACTGGCCCAAGTTGGCACCATCATTGCGCTCTTCCTGGGCGAGGTAGATCAGTCGCCGGCTTCTGGATGGCTGCTGGCCGCTCACGCTGGCTGCTGGCTACACACAGTTGCCCATGGCAACTCACCTGCCCTCGCTGGCGACTCACAGCAGCCCAGCTCCAGGTTGAGCTGTTGTTCAGCTTCTTAGCTGTGGAGGGCAGTGTCACTGGCCCTCATATGTGGGATCCGAACCGGGGCCCTCTGGCGTCCCAAGTCAGTTCTTAACCAACGTGCCACTCGACCAGCCCGAAACTGTCTTTTTCATTCCCAAACTCAGTTTCCTCAGCTGAACATAAAATGAAAATTTTCAATTATGTAAATAATCTACATAAAGTAGGTGATGAGAAATAGCTCTAATATATTATGAAAAAAATTAAAAACTTTGTGGACGTAGCTCCTTGCCATGCTTAGCTCCCTGCCTGATCTGTCCAAGTTATCTCCTTAGGTATAAATCATTGTCTGTTAGTATCCTGGTTACAAAGTTACATGGGTTTTCTGTGATCTTTCCTAAACTTCCTCTCTCACAAATCCTGTTACTTTACCTTTTTAGGAACACCTATAAACACACACACACACACACACACACACACACACACGTACACACACAGAATATGTAACATATTATGTGTGATATTTTATATAATATGTATTATACATTTGATACACCTGCATATAAATAATATTGAACCTTTTTTCTAATAATTACATTTCTTAAGAATTTTCTCAAATTATTAGAAATTCTTGGGAAACCAGTCTGGTCATAGCTGCATGAAAGTTTATTTTGTGGTTGTGTTTATTTCTTCAGTCATCATTTATGGGAAATCTATTCTGTGCCAGTCACTCCTCTAGGCATTGAGGAAAGCAATGAGGAAGGTAGACAATGTCTCTTTTCCTCGTGGATCTCCCTCCAATCAGTAGAGACAAACAATAACCAAATAAGACAAGTACAAGTGAATAAACCCGGAAAAAAACCTTTATAGTATTCAATACTATGCAGAGAATTAAAACATGGCAGTATCTTAAAGGTTAGCTGCAATGGAGAACTAGAAGCCATATCAATGAATTTTTGGTACTCTGCTTTCTTAAAATCATTAGTCAGTCATGCCCACTGAATGAGTGTTTCACCCATACATGGTTTAGTAACATGATAAGTTGATCATTTGGAAGGTATTGGTTCAATGAGTTATACAGATCTTCCAAATGTTGACAGAACCTCATTATACATCAAAATATCACCATGGGGCCAGCCAAGTGGCGCGTTGGTTAGTATTTGGCTTGGGAGCACCAGCTCTAAGCAGCAGGGCCCTGGTTTGGATCCCACATGAGGGCCAGTGACGCTGTGCCCTCTACAGCTAAGATGGTGAACAACAGCTTGACCTGGAGCTGGGCTGCCGTGAGTCGCCAGTGATGGCATAGGCTGCAGTGGGCTGCAGTGAGCTGCTGTGAGCCACCGTGAGCAGCCATCCAATGGCCAGCGAGTGGCTGCCTCAGCCGGGAAGAGCACAATGATAATACCAACATGGGCCAGTGAAGCAACGTCCTCCACAACTAGACTGAAGAACAAAAGGACAGCAACTTGTCTGTTCCCCTTTCCTGATTCCCCAACGCTGTTCCCCTCCCCCAATTCCCCAAAAAAATCTTTTAAAAAAAATTCACCATGATCTCATCATAAAAGTCTTTAAGTATTCAGAAGTTGTCAAGCTCACGATGACAGATACAAGTTTTCCAAAATTCTATTTTTTTTCTTTAAAGTTTGAATTGTATTTGCAACACACACAGTCAGTTGTGATCATAGAATCAGCAGGCTCATTTCTTTCCTTTAAAGAAAAATGCCTGTCAATTATACAAGCCTGAAGAACTATAGTATTTAGTTAGCCATTCTTTGAAGAAAAAATGGAATTCCATTTTTTTTAATTAAAGTTTATTGGGGTGACAATGGTTAGTAAAGTTACATAGGTTCAGGTGTACAGTTTTGTAACACATTATCTATATATCGCATTGTATGTTCACCACCCAGCATCAGTTCTCCTTCTATCACCATATATTTGACCCCCTTTACCCTCATCTACCACCCTCTCTCCACTTACCCTCTGGTAACCACTAAACCATTGTCTGTGTCTATGAGTTTTGTTTCTTCATTTGTTTTTCTTGTTCTTCTGTTGTTTTCAGTTTTATATACCACATATCAGTGAAATCATATGGTTCTCGACTTTTTCTGTTTGCCTTATTTCACTTAGCATTATAATCTCAAGCAAACAACGCCTCTGATAAGGGGCTAATATCCAAAATATATAAGAAACAGCATTTTTTTTAAGTGGCTCATGGAGCCTTTAACTCAGACAGGCACACAGACACTTTGCTTTGAGACAGCCCTCCTGCTCAGTAGTCAACAGATGCGCTTTGTGCATTCTTCTTATTTTGTGACACAAAACATAGAACATTAAAAATAACAGGGTCAAGGGTCAAGATTTATTAAACTTATCATTTTTTGGCTTCATCAAATGTCCTTAAATGAAACTGGTTTAAAAGACAACTGGCTGGGTATGATGGTAAATCATACAATGACGATTAGCACATTTTGGTGTCACTGCTGTGATTTGTGCTAAGGCCCCAACAGCCTTACCCACTATGACTTTTGTGCATTTGACCAAATGTTGCAACAATAAGAAAGGCAAATGACATCTTAGTATTATAATAAAAATGGTTGTCTTCTTGCAAACCCCCTAAAGTGGTCTCAGGGATCCTCTGGGGTCTCCAAACTATATTTTAAAAATATGTATTCTAGTGCTAAATATTTCATTTATTTCTAATGTTTAACCATTATAAATGATGAATCGAATGAACTTCTTTATGCATTGGCCTTTGTCTGTTTTTAAGATTATTTCTTTTGGAAAAATGTCAGAAGCATGGCCATTGAATAAATAGACATAAATATTTTAATTTCAATTTTTTTAGGAGGCATGAACTCAAAGGCCATTGAAATTATTAGCTTTTATTTAAAAATGTTCAGACTAGCATAAATCAGTGTAGTAACCTGATCTTTTTAATTTTAAGTGACAGAAACCAACTCAAACTAGCTTATGCCTGAAAGGAAAATTTGTTGGCTCTTATAACCAACATATCTATGATTTTAGGGAACAGTTTAATCAGATAGTTTTTTTTTCAGGAGATTTTTCTTTTAAGCATATATTACTCAACATAAACCTTTTTGGTTCCTGTGCAAGGACTGCCACACAAAAGAGGGACGATAATCATTTTGTGCCCTCTTTCATATAGCTGTCTGGTGAGAAACGGCCGTTGTTGGGGCAGTGGTTGGGATTTGGGATATGCAGCATTTAACAGGGTGGTCGGGGAAGGTTTCCTTGAGAAGGTGAGATTTGAGAAAGGACATAAAGATATGAGATGGCATCAGATAGCCAAACATATATCCAGGGAAAGAACATTCTAGGCAAAGAGAACAGATAGAACAAAAGCAGTCAGAAGTGTGCTTGGAAAGCTTGAGGGGTGGCCCAGAGGCTGGTGAGGCTGGGCCAGCAGGAACAGGGGGAGACTAATAGGGGAGGAGGTCGGAAGGGGTGGGACCATTTCACATACGACCTCATACGCCGGGATTGGGTGGTAAGTACTTGAGCTTTTCCTCCGAGTGAAACAGAGGGATTTATTGGGTGAATTTAAATAGAAGTCACGTGGCCTGACTTAGGTTTTAAAATGGTACTTCTGACTCCTGTGTTGAGAATTACGCTAATGGGCAAGAAGGGGAAAGCAGCGTGACCTGTTTGAAAGCTAACACAGGTGAGAGGCAGCGGGGCTTGAACCAGGAAGGTCGTAGTGGAGATGGCAGTGGAAGGCAACACTGGATATGTGTTTAAGGTCTATGCAGTAGGATTTCCTAATGGATTAGATGTGGGCGAGAGAGAAATCAAGATGGAAGGACGACTCTGAAATTGTGGCCTGAGCAATGGAAGGCGCAGCGCCGCCATCAACGGGGTTGGCAAAAGATACAGTGAAACAGTTTAAGGGAAGACATTCGAAGTCTGGCTTTTGATGTGTGGAGGTTGATATATACATTAGACAAACAAGTGGATCCATTAAGTAGGAAGCTGAAGACCTGAGGAAGTGGATTGTGGGAGCCTGGGCTATAGAACTGGAAACAGTAGGAATGGAAGATGTGTGAAGT